CATAGCCGCGTTATGTTCGTTTGTTTTAGACAAGCCTGCCTCTTCAGTGGCTTACGTTCATCTTTTAGACCTTTCGTACGCGTCCTTTGTTCCGGCATCGTGCGAAGCCCACGCTTCTTTGCGCCGAGCAACATTGAATGACTAATCTCACCGAATGATGAGGGCAAGCTGCTAAAGAATGTTTACTTCTGAGACCGCGCCCTATCTATACAGGTAGTATATAAACAGACTAAAGTATTTATTTTTACGGTAGTCTTTACAGCAGGGACGGTCAACGTCATTTTTTAAGGTTAGAGACACTAGAGTATGGCCTCTGTAGTGACAGGATGAAGGCGTGTGACTCGCTAAGTAGTTCGATTAAACAACAGATCGCATACAGCAGCTGTAGTACAATACAAAAAACCTGTGTTGATTGAGAAAGAGTAATAACATCACTGGCTCTTACTCACTCGCTGACATAATCTTATCCATATACAATAGATGATATTCACAGCCATTGGAAATATGGTCAGTCCACTTCTGTTAGTGTTGGATTGAACCTTCTTTTACGCTGTCCTGAGCCACTCCGCTATGTTAAACCATCCTTGATCTCTTCGTGTCTTCTTTGGCTTCTCTTTCAGTGTGATCCAATCATCCAGCGTAGACGCGTTCTTCTGTCCTTAGGCGGCCTAACCCAGCACGGACTGTTCATTCCCTCTGTTTTATATATTATAATCAGAATTAGATACGACGACCCAATTTAAAGACCAATTTTACCTCTCAACCATAGCAATTCGGCTACTTCTTTTAGCTTCAGCGTCTATCGAAACCCGTTCGTCAAAAATACACCATAATAATCATATTGATAGTGTTTGTAGCGCTTTTAGTACGTTCGCTTCTCTTTAGCCAGGCGCTATTACGGGCCACTTGCCGCAAGACCTTCGGATCATGCTGCCGTCCCTGCTCGTGCTATCCGGAGCATCTCCGTAGTTCTAACTATGAGTTTATGGGCTTCTTAGGCAAAACTCAAGTGGCCTAGTTCTTCGTTGTCTAGTGAGGCCTAAGCGGGTAGGGGCCTGACGGTATAGGCCTACATTGATTCGAACGTAAAGCATCTCCGGTCTGTAGTGCCTTGTTAACACTACAGTTCCGAGATGAGATTAATGCGGCTTTCCTGCGCATGACCCCGCGCACGACTCTGTGTATGACCAAACAAACTAGCAAAAAACGCTAATTAGTGATAGCGTCTTTGATTTTAATTCCGCAGCCTCAGTATCAATGAATCTTTAAACCAGCGCTTTGTTACTAATCATCTTTTCTACTATCATGTTGCATGCCAATAAATAGTACCGTTAGTTAAGTGTGCTTTGTAATTGATACATTAGCTTAATTTACGGTTCGGGCATTTTGAATAGTGAATAAAGTTTGAAATGCACTGTTATATTAGTTTGCAGCTTGCGATAGAGGTACTGTTTTGGAAACGCTATTTAAATTCAAAGGAATTTGTCTAAGATAAATGTTCCACATGGAAAAAGGCACTATGTGCTTAGTCGAGCCTGAAACGCTGCCGACACAACCCGGAACATTTAGCTTGTGTTTGGTAACGGCGCTATCGCTAAGAGGATTGGTCGAGAGTGGTTTGTCAAACCTGAAAACGGTGTTCCGGACATAGGAGATATCTCCGCGCTGGCCGACTATCCGATATTGATGACGATCATCTGAAGGCACCTCCGCAGAAATAGCGGCCGACAAACAAGTCAGGAATCAACCGAAAATGCGGATCACAGGACCGTTGTTAACTACCTCAGTTCTTTGGGTTCACACAAAAATTTGGAACTCGGTTACCTCATGAATTCTCTGCATCCAACAATAAATTACGGCTTAGCGTCGCATCTTAGTATATGGTCATAATAACCGATTTTGTCAGAACTGTCATCGGCAGTGGGAAATAATGCCTGTACGTCAATATAGACCAACTGAAGAACCAGTGAAAATATTAAAACTGTCGTGAATTATAA